ATGTGATAAGAAATATTACAATCAACTCAAATCTTCATGTTTCTCTAGTGATATGCCTTATCCATAGTTCATCCACATCGGAATCGATTGCCTCAAAATATTCACTAAAGAAAAAATCACTTTGTGTGAATTGAATAAATAAATTTTAATTTAAACAAGCCGAGAAAAAATTGTTAAGAATTTTCGAAATAATTAACGAAAAACACCAGAATAGCAACAAATTTTAATTTGACACCACATGCGGAGATCAATTTGAAACAATCCGAGGAGCACTCCCACGCTCCCGATTAGATAGTGCAATTCAATAATGCATCAAATCTTCTACTTCGCTGTACTTCGGTGGAAAAGGAAGAAGAGTTCAAAATTAATGCAAGAAGTCAAAATAATTTTGTTGATAATCATAAAAACGGTAGCCAATGCCAAACTCTTTGAAAACTGATTGATTGACGGAATTACTTGCCACCAGCTTAGGGCGATCCCGATTTTTGCATTAGTAAATGCAATTTAAATGCAGTGCCTTTTGTGGTCAACGGGAATGTTAAATGGAAAAAAATGTTTACAACTCGAGGGCGAAAAATACAGAAGCAGAGAAAAAAACGTGTTAAAAACAAGGGAAAATTAAAACCTGTACGCTACAGTCAGCAATGGAAATCGCAACGTAAGTATATGAGTACTCTATAATACTATGAATTACGAGCTGTTTGGTATCAATTTATAAGCTCTTAAAGTATTGATTTGAGATGATTTTAAAGAGGAACAAAAAAATAATATTTAAACGTTTCAAGTATTACTTTCCCTGTTTTTTAACAACAATTCTTCAACTACTTAGGAACGTATGCAAAGAAACTGTGCACTCTTTTGATTGCAAAAATCATGGAATCTTACAGCAAAAGGAACTACTAAGTATTTTCTCTATGAATAACCGACTCTGGCTTGCAGAGGAAACAGGTTTTTAAGCAAAGTACTTTTTTAATCTATTAAGTTATCTAATAGATATTAGAAATTAATTCGACGGAATTAATTTAGTTTGTTTTTTATATTATATCTTTCCTGGGAGGAATGTGGTAGTAAAACTGGAAAAAATCACTGATTGAGGTCAGAGGAAAGTTATCTGCTGCTCTTTCAAAATTACTTAAATATCCCATTTTGGGAATGATTCTATATATATATATATATATTACAACGCCATAAAAATTTAGTTTCCTGATCTACGTCTTTGTAATCTATGGCTTAGTTAGTTAGAGCACTTCAAACACTTAGTTAATATTATCTAATCTTTGCACAACTTGTCATGAAAAGGTCTTAATTTAAAAATATCAATGGATCACTTTTAAGTTAATCAACTTTAAGAATATCAGCTAACTATATGTTAGCTTCTGATTTAATCTAGAATTCACAAACACCACCTTCACTACATTCCAGTCCTTTCCTTTCTTTTTTATCACGCATACGGTCTTTAGTCTTTTATATTTAATGCTGTTTTAAAACTGACCCTATTGGGAATGATTTAGATCCAATTTATTTATATTTGGCAAGGCAGTCAATTCTTTCATGGCCTTCATGTCCTCCATGTTGTTAGTCGTAATAAAGTATCAAAAATATATAAACATTTCAAAACTTCTTACCACTTAAAGAACTAACATGACGCGCCTGAATTATACCGCCTACTTGCTTTAGATTATTAAATGAAAAGCTGCTCACTTCAAAAGGGAAGAAAAGGAGCTCAAGAAAAGCTTGAGGGTGTTTTGCGGAGCGTTTTTTGTTGAAATAATTTGCTATCTTGAGTATTCTTGACGCTGCTGTGCTACCTTCTGTACTTGGAGAAGCGTGGGAAATTGTTTATGGTATCTGCACACAACTTACACACTTTTTTTTACTAAGTTTTATTGTTAGTTTATGCGAAATGCAACAAATGCCACATCCACTGTAACAGATAAGTTCGCGTGCACTTAACGCCTCAATTATCATAAAAAGGACTGCCAATTTAATCGATACACAAACGGCAAACAAATGCAATGGAAGTTCCTATTAAGGACTAAGTCATTAATAAAAGTACGAGCATATTTACAAAGCATGACCGAGAAGAAAGTCCTGAAGGCATTTACTAAAAGTCCCAGCAGAAGACGAAAGTAACATTCATGACAACTTAACCTTTCGTTTGCGTAAGTGAACTTTTGCCATTTGTAAGACGCACCACTCAAAGGACTTTGTATTCATATCCTTGCATAAATTAATGCTTGACGTTAGTTTCATTTTTTTCCACAAATTTTTAATTCGTTTCTTAAATTTTAGTAGCACTTCAGTTAATATTTTAATGGCGTAAATATTTCGAAAAATGAAAAAATTGAAATATCTGAAGAGCGAATATCTGTTCCGACGAATATCGATTGCATGCATTTGATTGATTCCACCTTAAGGCTGTCACGTTGTTTTGTGCATAATGCTGGCTGGCTGGCTGACTGACCCTTTAATTTGCGCAGGCGTACAATTTTGAAAAATTTTGATTTTGGAGTTTGCGTTCTATTCGTTTTAGATCTCAGGTCGTGTCTTTTCGTGGCTCTGTCGTAACTCAGGCTGAGCTCATTTTCAAACGATTTAATTGAAGTTTTTTACTTTTGACCATGAATTCAGACAGTGGCTTTTTATGTCTTCAGTTTTGCATGCAAGCATATTTATATCAATGTCCTTAGGGTTTTTTCTTTTGTGTTCAGATTGAGAATGGATACTCCTGATTTTAAGCGAAGACACATACGCAAAAGCATGTCTACTTAAAATTATTTACCAAAAATTAAATTTTTACCATGTATTGCTCAGGTGACTTAAACATTTCCTTTTTATGCTAATCGATGTCTGCATTTTCGATTAAAATTGTTATACTTGATATCGACATTCTAAGAGCAGAACGGATGCAGTGGATGCAGTGGAAGATTAAATTAAAAATATTATCAAATAATATTGTAATTCCTTCGAATTTGAAATATTGAATCTAGTAAATTTTTGTTCAAAAGACAATTCTTTAGAAGTGTAATTTATAAGTTGTCAACACTGTGTCTAGTGGCAACTGTCACTTTCGTGTTGTTACAACTGTTTTGACATTTTTTGTATGTGATTTATGCACTAATAGGCAAAAGGTATATCCATATTATTGATATGGATATACTTACATATCTAGTCAGTCACGTGATCATTATTGTCTATATAACATAGCCCTAACAGTGGTCAAGTGTGATCGAATTTTTATATTCCTGCTTTAAAATATATCTATATTAAAGCAGGAATATTTAAAAAAATCTGCCATTATCACAGATTTTAGTATATATATTTATAATAATTTATATATATAGTAATATATAAATATAAATTTTTAATTTATATTAAAATTAACCACAATTTTTTTACAATTGACAGAACTCAGATATTAATACAGATATAATATAGTCGTTAGCTTTATTATTCACGCAATTAAACAATATGTATCATAGTAATAACCTATAATTAGTATATTGTACGAGTAATAATAATGTATATTGTATATTATCTATATTTCAATGTGTGTGTATATTTCTTAGCAAAAAAGTTAATCGAAAAAAAAGCTTAGTAATGTTTAGGTTAAGTTATTGCAGCACTCAGTCCATATCATCTTAGCGACTCCAGAGCCATGTAAATGAAGAAGCAACCAGGCTTCTCAATACCACGGGCTTAGTACGACTTAGTAGTAGTTGTTATGTTTTAAGAATCTTGTAGCAGAAATATATGATGACATCAATGGCAAGTTACTCGTTAGTTCTCTTGTTACTAGTTTTAATATGAACAGACATTGTTGTGTATTTACTTTTAGGTTAGAAGTGGAAAATAACAACAAAAAAAGTATAGTTAAGCAACTCATCTAAGCACTACGCATTCGTTAGATACCACCGTATGTATTTACTTAGCGCAAGAAATTCGCTCTGCTTCTAGCCAGAGCTTAACAACTACTAAACAAGCGTTCGAATATTTATTTATCTTCCTTGACCTCACAACTAATCTGGTACTCATAAGAGAGTACTATAAGGATGAGAATATTCCGGCCAAATATAAAGATGCGCAACCTTAAGAATTTACTGTCTTTAAGTAAGTTTTTCAAGATAACCAAGATAGTACTGCTTCCGTACACTACTAAAAACACAATGAGCACTCATTAGGCAAAATATGAACCAGTTTGGTTGTACACCAGTTTAAGGTTAGTTGCACTTTCATGGGATCATCTTATAAATTCTCAATTATAGTAGCTAATCGATACGCGTATTCACAAGGCACAAGTTTTCTCAAATTTGATTAAAATTTCATTCGTCTCGCTTCGATAAAATCCTATTCACACGGTAAGATGATTTACAAATCCTTAATTAGTTTATCCAGATTTGTTTTTTAATTGACCTATTCTTTGATTATATTCTATAGTCATCTTCTGTTTCAACAAATTTTTGATTTCCTTTTGCTTTAATTATTCGTAATTATTCACAATATCGCTACATAAGTGCACTATTGTGAATTAAGCATCAGACGTCAACTTTATTTTTTACAAATCATCTCTCAATTACTTTAAAATCTATCGGGGTTTTCTATTATATGGAATAATAATTTCAACTTGATTTTGTAACGATTTTGTGGCCAGACAAGCAAAATTACAGTCAAAACAAAGATTACTTTTACAATATAAATAAACAATTAACCAAATCCGTACGATTTATTGTGAATATTCTTAAAATATTTTCGGAGTATTATTTTATGATTATAATATATTTTTAAATAGTCTAGTTAGCTTTGACAAATTTGAAAATTGAATAGATATCACAAATTCAAAAATTTTTATTTTGGAATCATTGTTACACTCGTTGAATTGACATTGTAGAAAATTTGATATTCTACTTTCGACGCTCTGTCGGAAGTAATGTCTAAATTTTTAGTAATTAAAAGACAGAAAGTACTTCAAACATTTTCGGTTCTGTTTATTTTTGGCAATCATGGCAAAAGAATTAACAGACGAGCATGTTGCATTGCTAAAAATGATGTTCACTGAGTTTGATCAGGATCTTGATGATAAACTCGATGCTAGTGACTTTGCTAGAGCTGTACGCACGGTGTGTGTTTCCATTGGGCAACCCATCACAGAAAATGGATCGAAGGCGATAGCACAGGAGTATAGTGACGGTACAGGTTTGTTTGGGTTCGATAAATTCATAGCTGTCATTACTGCAAAGATGGTCCAAGCTTATACCACAGTTGAAATGCGCAAAATTTATCGGGGCATGGATCGGGATGCCAAGGGTTTTATAACTGTTGATGAGATGCGGCAAAACTTTGGTGATCGTTTGACGGAGGACGAAATACAAGAGGCTTTTCAAAATTGTACGGATGGCAAGTTTAAGTTTGATGACTTCTACAAGCTCATGAATCCATTTAAAAATTAATACATAAATCTTCCATAAGCACAAACTTTATACTTTCGGGATCAATTCTTGTAATACTAAATGTTTCTATTTTAAGTAAAACTAATTGCTGCAATTATTAAGACGTGTTTTTTTTTATAATTCTTAGTCTTAGTAAAGATTAAAGATGTTTGTCTTATTTTATGTTCTTATTTACCTATTAAATTCGCTTATATACTATACACACTATGTATATTTTAAAGAACGTAACACAGGATTCCTAAATATCAGAGCAACTAATAAAAAAATAGATGTCGCTATAAATGAAGGTGAGAAGTTCAAAGAAATTAAAAGAAGTTTTCGACAATTTCCAACAAAAATTTGTACCATTACTATAGTACAAGAAGTCATTAAGTCCACGAAACGAAAACAACAAAACTAGAAAACAACTAGTTTATTTTTTACTAAAATGTTCCTCAATTACGATATATTTCAATTTATGGATTACATATCTATAGATTACAAATTACATATAGACATAACTTTGTAGTGCCTTTTCGGATGGTCTGTAGAATGCATATATATAGAAGAGAGTATATAGAAGAGAAAGTAAGAGAAAGGATACCTCTAAACTACATATAGAGGTATCCTGTAGATGTTTATGATGAAATATATATACAGTAAGACCCGCTTAACGCATAGGATACTTTCCATCAAAATAGAGCGTAATGCAAAACAGCGCTAAACGAGACTATCTTAACATGTAAATATTGGAGTTAGGGAAATATTGATAGAAAATTGTTTAGGTATTAAATTTATTAACTATATTTTTTTTTATTAATAATAAAACCATATATATATTTTTTACTAAAACAAAAACAATGTAAACGAATATATATAAAAACAAATAAAATTCTAAGTCAGTCAGATCATTCAGTCTATTCTGTGTTTCCAATTTTCTGCTTTTTGTCAAGAAGGCATCTAAAGTAGTTTGCGTTTTCCTTTTGCATTCTGTCAGAAGTTCTTGATAAGTGGATATAACATCTATAACACCCCATCTTGATTTTGAACTCCAGTCAATATTTCGATCATTTTCAACAAATTGATCCATAATTTCAATTGTAGTGGTCAAACTCCTTCTTACAAAGATCTTTTTGCTTTTCACTACTATCAATATTTTTGGTTTCTTCTTGCTTAGTTAATTCCTTGAGCTCATCATTAGAAAGACTAGCTGCTGGTTCTTGAACTATTTCTTCGACGTTTTCCACATTTACCTCATCTAAACCGGTTTTTTTTCGCTAATTTCACTACTTCATCCATATCAACAGAGCATTCAATATCTTCGCTCCTACTTAAATCTGGCCAAATGTTCTTCCATACTCTTTTAACAGATTTTTCTTTTATGTGATTCCTAGAAAGGTTTATGTTTTCTACATGATATTGTAGTTTATCCAAAATTCTCTTATTGATTACTTCTCTTCTCCGTCTGTTTTTTTAAATATCTGTTTAAATGTTCGGCTTGAAATAAAAGAGCGCTAATCAGAAACGGCGTTAAACTAAACAGCGTTAAGCGGGGTCTTACTGAATTTATATTGAACTCATAGTTGTGTGTAATAAATATACCATTGGAGTTGCGGCGGAAGTTAACTAGACGTTGTGCTTTTGAGTACCGCGATGTTATGCCTACGCGGCAGGTTATCACGTTAAACACTGGACCTCCTGCCTCCATATTGTTTTTTATTTGAATGCTTGGTTCCATATAATTTCTATCTATGTTCGCAAAATAAACGGATTTCTAAAATTAGGATAACATCTATGTTATTTTTATATAGGAAATTATATAATTCTGAAGTCTGTATATATAATTAGTACAGATTCCAATAAAACACAGTCCATGCTGTTATTCAGATTTGAACCGTTCAATATTTTATTATATTTTTATTTTATTTTTTTTGGCACCTAACCTATCAAATTATCTATTTTTTGGTTAAAAGATGTGTATTGATTCAATATTCAGAATCGTTATCCGATGGCATATTGAAAGTTGCTTAGTTATTATTATCAATTGATGTATTGAAGTATCCCTGACAATATTTGCAAAAGAATAGTTGTGGAATGTGTCAATAAATTATTGCTTATATGAGAAAAATGAGTTGACAGTAGATTAGCGGGTTTATTGGATTCACTTGAGATCTACTCGTATTACTATAAGTTCTTAGTTTTCAATTAATTATTAATGGTCAATCTCTATGCATTTTTAAAGACAATAATACTCCATTATACCATAATTCTGATGAATCAACATAAAGAATCGCTACCTTTTTTAATTTAAAATCAATTCTCCTGAACGTCGTCTTTAAATGATAGAATTATAAATGATATTGCATTATTAAAATAAAAATATTAAATTTATATCTCATACGATGATTGCTGGTAACAAAAGTATAAATCCAATCAAATCCAAAATGAGCTGGTAAAGTCCCTTTATGCATCAATGCGTTTTGTTAATTTTGTGGGTGTAACACTAAATAATGACATTACAGGCTTTGTTGTTATCCTTGCTGTCATTACTGTTTTGTTGAGTGAGTGCACACACTTCGCTGCAATTGTTGTTGTCTTTCTGTCCTGTTGATTATGTTGTTGTTATATGAAATGTCCTTTTTGACATTTTGCAGGTGTATCCGTTTTAATTTAATTTTATATCTACTTCGACCGTTGTTGTTGTTGCTGTTGTTGCTTATAATGTTGGTGTTGGTGTTGGTGTTGGTGTTGGTGTTGGTGTTTCCCTAAATCGTCGTTGTCCCTATATATCCTGAACAAGTGGCAATTGCACAGTTTGCATTTATAATTTCTTTTATTTTTTTGTATTTAAATGGAATTTGTTATTCTCCAGCCCGAGTCCTTAGCTAAATTTGTTCCTAATACAATTGCTATTATGCCATTTTATTATGTTTACCATTGTTGACGTTGCTGTTTTTTTGTTATTATTGTCATTGTTGTTATTGTTGTATTTGTTGTTGGTGTTGTTGATGTTGCTGATGTTGCTTATATTGCCATTGTATTAGCAAAAATAATGCAGACGGGTTTGGTAATTTCACTGGCGCCAGTTACTCAGTTGGTGTAATTTTCCTTATATTTTTTTTTAAATAATACTAAAATCAGATTTTCCACTTATTATTGGTATTGTTCCTTTCGCTGTTGTTGTTGTTGTTGGTGTATTTGTTGTTTTCATTGCTATTATTTTTATTGCTGTTGCATTTTGACAATTACTATTGCTGATAACAATTTTTGAGCTGCATTTATATATTTCCAATATTGTAAATATTTTCAACTGAAGATTACTTGCTATATACTCAAAAGATACCTATGGAGAGAAAATAGCTACAGAAAGTACAAGAAACTAATTGAAAAAACATTAAATTTTAATTAATGTTTGATAGCTCTACAATTTTTAGCTGAAGAACGATAGACCGACATGAACTACAGCACCAATTAGACCAACTATAATTATTCTATATAAAATGAGTCAAGTCTTACTGTTATAATATTGTGCCCTGTGACAATTGATAATCGATTGCTTAGATCCTGTCAGGAGTCCTTATTTATAGTATCAAATTAGTTACAAAGGAATGTAACAATATTAAAACCAATTCTCTGTTTTCCAAAATCAAAAATCAAAAATCACAGTTGATTTTTTGTACTCAAAACCAAATTTTTTGTTAATAACATTTAATTAAAAAGATTTAAATTTGACTCTTTATGGTTTATTAAAAATGTATAAAAATTTACGTTTCATTAATATATATTTTTTTCTTAATTTGTTACTCAATTTATTAATTTTTTCTCAATATTTGGGGCTATTATGAATAAACATTCAAACATATGCGCTTGGGAGAGCATCCATTTAGCAAAGTTTTATTTATATATTTTTCAGTTTCTTCTAATATTCACATTCGTAATGAAACAGGATTACTAATAATTCAGTTTGATGATCAGTATTACATTAAAATTCTATTGCATCACTCAATTACTTTTTACTTATAAAAGTCTACTTAACTATACTAGATGAGAACCATAAATTCTTTAAGCTAAATACTCACAGTAATTAATATAAACCCGATGAGAATTATAAATGCTTGAAACTAACTACACACAGTATTCTAGAAGAGAAGCACTTCCAGATATTCAAAAATTTTAAAAGATTTCTGACATCGCAATTATAATGTGGGAAATTTCAACGGTTTTTAGGTATAAATAGAAAAGATTACATTTTACTATAAGTTAATGAATTATGTTAAGAAGGCGTATGTAAATTACTTAAATAATATATCTAATTTAAAAAAACTTTTTTCTATTGTTTAATAAATCAAAACCATACATACACCTCATATATGTCAATAAGATAACATACATGCATATATATAATATAACATATAGCTCTTAATGACGTATTTAGCTACCTTTTCCTTTATAAAAAGTCGCCATTACACATGTGTACTTGGTATAATAATTATATATATCTAAATCCTAACTAATTCTAAATAAACTAAATAAGTATATATATATATATATTTATATATATATATAGACTTTATTTCGGAAAGAAAATTTCACTTAAAAATAATGAAATATTATATATATATATATTTATTGTACTTCGGATTTGTTTAAATAAAAATCGTAGTCATATCTTTTCATAACAACTTAATTTGTAAACCGAAACTGACTCATACTTTAACAGCTGCACTACAAGTGCTCGTACTCGTAATTAAGAAAACATTACTAGCCACTTCTCGCCTGTGACTTAGCCTATATTTGAACTATAGTAGCTTTAATTAATTTTTAACGACTTCAATTGAATGCTCAGCTTGTGTAAAGTATGCAGTAAATCTGATGTCCATAATTGGATATCAATTGACAGCTCCAACAACGGCTGGTTTAGGTGGCAGTTAAGTGCCGGTGGGCACTAATGATTTAGTATTTCAAACTCAACTCCCAGATTGTTCTGAGTCATTGAGGCAAGTTTCGTTGCTGATTTTCAT